TCCCAGTTGCTCCACTTCTGATCCAGCTCCCTGCTAATGTATCTGGGAAGGCAGCCCAAGTTGGTACAAATGCTTGGGTCCCTGTGCCCATGTGGGAGACCTAAAAGAAGCTCCTGGCTTCAGCCAACCCCAGCCATTCCAGATGGAAGATTCTTTCTCCATATATAACTGCCTTTCAAATATATAAATCAATCTTAAAAAAGAAAAAGGAAAACAATTATATCAAGGATGGGTATTGTCACACAGGGGGTTAAGCTGCCCATTGGGAAATCTGTATCCCATATGAGGACGCTCAAGATCGAGCTCCACCTCTGCTTCCAATCCAGCTTTTTGCTAACGGGCCTGCGAGGCAGCAGATGATGACCCAAGTGCTGGGGTTACTGCTGCAACACAGGAGGCCCAGACAGAGTCCCTGGCTCCTGGCTTCTGCGTGATCCAGTCCTGAGGGAATTTAGTGAGTGAACTAGTTGATGAGATTTCTGTCACTGTGACCTTCAATTAAATTTTTAAAAAACCCACAAATATATAAAAAAAAACCTCAAGATTTATTAGATCTTTGTGGTGACTTCATAGATTTTTTAATTTTTCTTTGCATTTTTCAACATGGGTGAATTTTAATGAAATTTCTTCCCATCATATGCCTGGTGAGCAACCAGTTCTGATTTGAACAGAAAGATAGAAAAGTAGAATCCAAGTTGAATTCGTCACTGTATTCCCTAAGCATCAAGTTCAGAAAAACCCAAAACTCATAACCAAACAAAACCAGATAACTAAGAATATACCACGTGCTAAAATACTTAAGTGCGATACTACAGTATAACTAAACTTATACACAACAGTAAAACTTCTTAGGGTTACTACTCCAAATAAGAACCTACCAAGCGGCCCTGCGCAGTGTGGCACAGTGGGTTAAACTGCTGCCTGCGACGCCCGCATCTACTTCCCATTCAGCGCCCAGTTAATGTGCCTGGGAAAGCAGAGGAGGATGGCCCAAGCACTAGGGCTTTGCCATACGTATGAAGCCCTGGATGGAGTTCCAGGCTCCTGGCTTTGGCATGGCCCAGTCCCAGCTGTTACAGCCAGTTAGGAAATGAACAGCAGATAGAAGATCTCTCTCTGACAGCCACTACTCACTCACAAGCGGCTGTTTAAACTTTAATCAAATAAAAAATCTTGTTCCTCAACTGCGCTGGTCACATTTCAAGTGCTTACAAGCCACACGTGGACAGCAGAGGAAGCGTACACTTCCATCGTCACAGAAGGTTCCATGGAACAGCGAGCGGTTCCGGGACGCTTCCCAGGCGGCGTGCCCTACCAGGGGCTGCCTACAGTCGGAGACCGTGGGCCGGGCGTCCCAAGGCCCTGGGTTCCAGTCCCCGCTTCTACTCACGAGCACCTAAGAGGCAGCGGACGATGGTTCAGGGGACTGGGTCCCTGCCACCCCCACGGGAGACCCGCTTGGAGTTCCCGGCTCCTGGCATCGCCATGGCCCAGCCCTGCCTGTTGTGCGCATTTGGGGAGAAAACCAACGAATGGAAGCTCTCTCTGCTCTTCAAATAAATGCACTTTTTAAAAAAAATCCAACACGCCAATTTCCCACTAGGCACCTTCCTAAGCTTTGAAACTTTGGCGTCGGTCAACACGCACAAGCTGTGGGGACCGCCCGAGCAGGCAGGGGGGGGTCCGACCGACCTCGGTTCGAATGGGGTGAAGGGGGGGCTTGGGTGGGTCTGCCGACCTCCTTGCTCAACTTGTTCACCCTTAAAATGGGGGCAATAAGGGTGTTCGGGTTACAGACTTGCAATGATAAAATCAAGTTTTTTTTTTTTCGGGGAACTTGAAAGCGACCCGAGTAACCGGCGCCCAGCCCGACGGAGAGAGAAGTGCGGGAGGCTCTTCCCTCGGGGCGGGATCCCAGAGACCTGGGACCCCCGCGGCGCAAGCCTGGCCTCGGCCAACGCGGCCCCTTCCGCCCCCGCCCCCCGGGAACGCAGGAAGGAGGAGGAGGTAGCGCCCCTCGGCCCCGACGGTTGGGGCGCCACCGAAGGCCCGCGGCTCCTCAGGCCCCCTCGGGGAGCGTTCGGAGCCTCCACGCCCACAGATCTAGCCCGAAGAAGTTTCCCCGGGACCAAGGCCCGAGGAGAAGAAAGCACCCCCGTCTCACCTGAAGGTTGAAGGGCGCGGCGGGGCTCGCGGGCCCAGCGAAGCACCTTTGGTTACTTCAGTAGAACTCCCAACGAACGCGCGCAAACAACCGCCACTTCCTCCGCAACGCGAGCGCCCGACCCGGCCTGCTCCTATTGGATAACAGCCCCAGCCAGCAGCCAATACCGCCCCTTCTTCTTCCTTGGGTGGCGGGGTCGCTGAAACAGCGGCGCTCTCATTGGCGTAAACTGGCTAGGCGGGACCACGCTCGAGGAAGCCTCGTACAATTGGTAGAAATCTATGTCCGTCACCTCGCGCCCATCCCCGGACTAGTAGAATGCGAAGGGTTGTTTGCCGCGCTCTATTTTGAACTTTCTTAGCGGGATAAAGTTATGGGAGAAAGATGTATTCAAACTGTAGTTCCTCCTGCTGCTGCTTAACCTTTAGTGAAGGAGCTGCCTTTCTCCGAAGAATATCTGTATCCAAAGGAATAAATTCAAAACGTTGTCCCCAGAATGCTGGAGGCTGTGAAGAGCGGCGAGACAGACTCGTTCGTATGGATCCTGTCAGGGGATCGAAGAGTTCACACGAAAGAATCCGCCTCTGCCATTCAAACCGCCGCATAAACTGCCCGCTGCGACCACTCATCCCGTCACGCGGCAGCAAAAGTTTCTTTCTTTCTTTTCTTTCTTTCTTTTTTTTTTTTTTTTTTTTGACAGGTAGAGATAGATAGAGAGAGACAGAGAGAAAGGTCTTCCTTCCGTTGCTTCTCCCCCCAAATGGCCGCTACCGCCGGCGCTGCGCCGATCCGAAGCCAGGAGCCAGGTGCTTCTGGTCTCCCATGGGGTGCACGGCCCCAGCACTTGGGCCATCCTCCACTGCACTCCCGGGCCACAGCAGAGAGCTGGCCTGGAAGAGGAGCAACCGGGACTGGAAGAGGAGCAACCGGGACTAGAACTCGGCGCCCATAAGGGATGCCGGCGCCGCAGGCGGAGGATTAGCCTAGTGAGCCGCGGCGCCGGCCCCCAATCTCTTTTCTATACGTTTCTTTCTTTGCTTCTTCAATTGTCTAATTTGTCTTTGTTGAACATACAGTACTTATAACAATGACAATCTTATTACACAGTGTTTATACATATCAAAAAATGACAAGGTACCCCATAATATATGTAGTTTTTCTGTCAAAAAATCACTCAAAACTTTATTTTGCTCTATATTTGTTTATAAAAATTCTCATTACTCATATTAGCCATCCTATATTACAGCAGTGCGTCCACTCTGTCCACTCTGCCTGTCCCGGTTGCCCCTCTTCCAGGCCAGCTCTCTGCTGTGGCCAGGGAGTGCAGTGGAGGATGGC